AACTATCAAATGAAACGGAAACAGTTCAGTTTTATAAATATTTATTCCTTCCCCAGCCCATCCTCCAATAATACTGGGAGAGATTAACAGAAAGGTAAGAATTTCACACAACTAAGATCAAATCCTAAAAGGCCTTGCACCCTTATGGAGGATATGGCAAATTGAAGACATCTTCACAAAAGTGCAGTCAATAACTGTGCCAGAGACCAAGGAGCCGGCAAGTACGTGAGTACCTTGGAACTGCTCCAGGTAAGAGGAAGACAGGAGATTATCTACATGTGCTCTGGACAGCTGCTTCTCATGAGGAGACAGTAGGACAGTGGTCTTCTCTGAGTTTGAGCACTGGGACAAATGGAAAAGCCACCTTGCTGGCAATTGTGGCGAAGGCTTTTAAAGGATAGTTAAGTCCCCAAACCTCGCTTTCTGGTCACTTTCACAAGTTTCTTAACAATGACCTTAAAAAGCGATTGCAGATCTTCAGAACAACAAACTTGAAAAGTGATTGGGTGAGTTTTATTTTTAACTGAACAAAAATAAAATTAACTATAAGCTTAAGAACTTAAAGAATTTGAAATAAATGGCAGAAACCTAAACAAGGTTTTGATCTGAGAAAATTATAATCAGGTTAAGAATCCAGATAAGTTTGGAACATTGACTTTTATTGTAAGGTTTTGGAATTTATAAAAAATAAAAGACCTTATGGGAAGCAGACTTGTTTTGGCTATCCTGGCTATTGTAAACCATAACAAAGATTTTAGAAACTGGATCCCAGAGAGGGCTAAAGATTCTAAACAGAAGGAAAAAAAAATCACAAGTCTGTTTTTGATGTCAATTAATACTTCCTACAAAATCACACAAAATATTATAACACCAGAAACATTAAAGGAGATAATTGAAAATGGAGTCAGAAATTAATACATCAACACTGTCAATAACGATGCCTGCTTCTACAGATAATGTCCCAAAAATATTAATGATGGAGTAATAAATGTAAAAATAACTTTATTTTTAAAGTCCCAAAAGGGAAACTACAAATAATTGACCAAGAGAATGATTTGGAAAAGGACGCTTTACTGGATATGCAGAAGAAACTGATTAAAGTTTAAAAATTAAAATGGAAATACTAATAATAAACAAAGAGAATCACCTGGAAAATGTTTCCTTATTGGATTTGCAAAAGAAACTTGTTAAAGCCATGAAGAAAAGCTCCAAAGAAGTGTGAGGATATTGAAGAGAATTAAAATCCTATAATAATATTTGGCTGAATTAAAGATTAAGGCAAAGGAAGGAATATAAATTTGGTTTATTTCATCAACATTAAAATACGATTCTTTTTTAAAAGTTCTTTATAGACTTTTTATAAAGTCCCTTTATAGACTTTTTGCTATTATCAGTATTGAAAAGTTTATGTTTTAAAGATTTGCTTATAGATAAGGGGTGAAGTGAAGGTATATCTTCCTATAACTTTAGGGGGTTAAAGAATTACTAAGTTTGTTTATACTTGTAATGATTGGAAGTCACTTATTTACATTTTTTTGGTTTATTACATTTTTTCTTTTTTCTATTCTTTCTCCATGTTTAGTTTATCTTAGTTCTTACTATTATAATCACAATTTATAATTAATACAATTATATATATATTTAAAATCCTCACAGGCTTTGTCTAAAGAAATTCTACACAGCATCTTTTAGTAGTATTCAAGCTTAATAAATTTATTTTAAAAAGGAATCTAACAGTAACAGATCAAAAAGTGAAGGAGTAATTTATGCAGTAAAAATTAAAAGAAACCCTTTTTAAAAATCAGTACTCTTAAAGTATCACAGTTCTTAGAATAACAAATGAATTGGGCCAATGACAGTTATTATACCAAATTCAAGCAGCAACTGAGAAAGTTGGATTGAAATGGAAGCTAGTTAAACAAAAAGCAGATCCAAGATTATACTCAAGGGAACAACCAGCAAATTCATCTCTTACTGAGAGGCAAGTTGTTTGACATGCCAGAGATTTAGCTCCAAGAAGCCTACAGCACATATTCCATTAACTTTCAACCCAAGTACATTAGCTTTGCACCAGAGAAAGGGCAGTTTACTGTATTGTATTAGCTAATTAAAAAGATACTCTCCATACCAAGACTTTGTTTTGGAAAGAAGAAAGAAAATGAATGTCATTCTTATAAAAGTAGGATCAATAAAGAGAATCACTGCTAACTCCATTAACCATTGTTCTAAGTGGGCAGCCCAGCTGACACAAGTGATAAACCATGTGCTTCTAAACACTTTTTAAAATGCTAATCAGACATTATATGGAGCTTAACACAATAATCAATAATGTCCAGATTTAAAAGCAAAAATTAAAGTTATGAACAGAAGGAAGTGTTTCTATAGAGAACCCGCCACAAGCACCATCCAAAAGAAGAAAAATGAAACCAATTTAGCTCCAGATTAAGAGCGAGGAACTAGAGATGAATCAATTTAGCTAGCTGGGCTGGGTTACCATATATCACGGCTTGGCAGCGCAGGTGGAAGCAGCTAGACAGTAGGAATATAAAAACCCCACCACCTTTTTGTCAGGCCCCAAGGTCTGATACTGGTTATCAATTAAGTTAACAGAACCCACCTCTTCACACACAGCATTCTAACTGTTTAACTATCACAGCAGCAACAATTTATCACACACAAATTCTAGCTAAAGTAGGATGAAACAGCTGTAATCTTTGCTTCTAACTACTGTTTTCTGCTCCCAATGGAGTTAAGAGCCTCTATCTAATGGTAGCAAACTATTTCCAGAAGGGATATCTTATGAAAGAACTGCTGTCAAGTGCAAGAAAAGGTAATTGGCTTTTACTTTTTCTGAAAGGTTACAGAGGTTGACTGTCCAAGTTTAATTTTGGTCTTCGAAAGTCAAAGGTTTCTGAATGTTCCATGATAGATCAGGATTTGTCACAAAGAAGCACCATGTCTATATTTCACAGGACAGAATTATTGTATGCATCACTTAGAAAAAGTTTAGACTCCTCCAGGCAGCACTGAATGAAGCATTTAGATAATGTGATCAAAATGATGCTACCAATTCATCATTTGGACAAGTGTTTTCAATCTTAAAGGCTAAGATTTGAGAAAACCGACAACTTTCGAACCAATGAAACTGCTGGACAAGATTAAAATTAAATTCCTTTGCTTCCATCAGAGATCTATAAACTAACCACATGCACTCACCTCAAATGCTAGTGACCCCTAAGCCCCATTTACTTCTAAAAAGCAGAAACAATGGATGCTGCCCCAGATCTGAGTGTCCCTGAAGTTTTAGCGCATGTGAACTTGAATTGTGGAGGTAAATAACTCATTTTAACTTCCTGCTCTTCCTTGCAGTGAAGAGCACAGAGAGAAATACATACTACGTTGTCACAGCTTAAAAGCTGCATTGTGGCAGTAATTCATTAGAATTATCTTTCTTTCCCCCTTTGATACTTAGAGGGAAATATTTAAATTGGGGAACAACAAAAATTCCATTTGCTTTCCCCAGCTGTTTATAAAAAAATACTACCAAGAACTTGTGTTAAATGTAAAGTACCACCTAACAAAAATCCTGCATACCTCATTAAGTATGATCTGGCTCTAGCAAGTGTTATCAATTTCTCTACAGCCATAAGTTGTTACCAAGACAAGACAGCACAAGGCAAAATGTGTGTATGTGTTATCTCCTGCTCCAAAGTGCTATTGCTCCAGCTGTTTTCAATGTGGACCACTCTTGTCTTCTGATAAAGTAGCAGCTTTTAGTAAAATCTGCAGTAAGATACACCACTCTATTTCTAGCAGTTTAGCTGCAATTATCTATTTTTTCCCACTTTTTTCTTGAATTCCATGCCATCTCTTAAATTCATGTTGTATTTATTTCCCCTCCATTTTTCTTTCTACTTCAGCCTTTCTCCAACTTTTCACCACTCAAAGCTCAATACAATACTCAAACTGTGGAAAACTATACATACTTGCCCAAAATAAAAGTCAGTATTACTAGCTTGCTGCAGAATGTTGTGTTCCTGCAAAGGCATTTCAATATGCATTTCCATTATTAAAATGTGCATATATACCAGATTACCCTATGATAATCTTTTCAATTCTTAGAACTATTCAGATAACACATATCATCACTACTAGCAATGTATTAGTGCATGATACAGTCTCAAAAGACTTTACATACGTTTGCCATATTTTTCTTTCTTTAGAGGAATGTGTTTTTAAAAATGGCTTATCTGTGTGAACATCTTGTACACAGCTTAAAAGGGCTCTTGCACTAGCATTATTCTATGTCACTTAATGAGCAATCTAGTCTTTTAAGCATTTCTATGCTGAAGATTTCAATGCAATCTACATTATACGAAGAACTCACAAGAAATAAGCTTAAATATCTCTGTATGTGGCCCTGCCTAACTGCAAGAAGAAGGGACAACATTGTGCATTGCTCTGAACCCCTCTTTTGGTTTGTCACTACTCTTTGTAGAGCAAAATGATCTGTCTCATGTTACTCATTCCCAGTGGAAATGAAGGTTAAAATAATCTAATTCTATTCTGGAGAAAGGGCATAACGAGTAAGTCTTTTGAAAAATAACACATCCCAGGGGGAAAGAAAAGGGCAGCGTTTTGATACTATAGAGAATTTAACACAAGGATAAGATTTGCTATCATCCCTCTAAAGCCTCAGAAACTACACTGAGGATCTAGAAATGAAACATAAAATCATCTTTTAGAGCCAATATACCAAAATGGATTTTTATCTTTCTACAGATATGGAATTCCTATAAAGGCTAAAAAAAACAACCCTAAAAGGATATGAAAGAAACCCTTTGATTTTCAGCTATGAGAGTGTCAGCTTTAAAAGCTGTGTAGTTTCAACTGGAAAAAAAAATCTATGCCCGAGTTTTGGACAGTGATAAGCTGCAAGGCAGCTTCTGTAATGTTGCATCTTTGACCATCAAATATGTACATGGACAATTAATACTTACTTCTCTATGTCACTGTTCTTGCAAGTCTTTTGCGCAGGCTCTTGTTTACTACCCTCCCCGTTACTTGTTGATGGCATTTCTATAAAGAGAGGGAAGAACTCAATCAATGAATAAAGTTTATTCAAATACACATTCAAACCACAGCATGAGTAAAGCCTCTCTTCTAAAAATTTAAACACCTCGTAAAAAAAACCAAGAATGCTAATCACATGATTAATAATGAAGCTGAGTGCTAATTTTAAATCTCCTCAATTCCAGAATGATACAAGCTAGTAATCTTCAGAAGCCTTGGACTACCAGTCTTTGCTATTAACCATAATGGCTGCTGTTGAAGAAAACTGAAAAATATCTGGAGACCACAGTCTTAATTCTTCTTCTATTCCTCTTCTTTTTTAAAAAGTTTAATATGGAACATTTTTTTTCTATCAGGATACCCGACTGGACTAGCTTAAAAAAATCAAATTTGTCCAGATTACTTTCTACTAACATTTTTTTCAGCTATGTACAAATTAGAATTTCAGAATGATTATACTGTATATGTATACCGCTGGAAGTCAACATCGGAGAAAGAAAACTGGGTTTTGATTATTACTTTCTCCATTTAGATTGCAAGCATTTTGTTCATATAGAAGTATTGAATGTGTTTAAAAATTAACATTGTTTTGGATTCCATAGTTTACACTATTAAATAGGCATACTTAATTCTAAAAGATTGTGTTAAAAACCTGTAATCTACTTTTCAGAAGAGCAATCATTCCCAAGCAGCGAACAGAAATCACAATAAGATGCATTTAAACAGGCAAGTAAAATAAAAGCAGGATAACCAGCCAATTTTTTTTAAAAAAGCATTGAATAGGTAAAAACAGCATATTCAACATCAGATAAAGGTATTTGAATATGCTGTTTTTACCTATTCAATATCTTTATCTGATGTTGAATATGCTGAAGGCAGAATATGAATGATAAATATCCCTTCAAGCTGATTCCATGATTTTACTTAAGATTTGGTTGTTCTAATGCATTTATTATGATGTCCAAAAATGGATTAAGAACTTTGAATTATACTATATACAAAGGAAAATTGAATCTCATCATAAATGTGATCTCCCAAAAATGCACTCTAAAATTTTCCTCTTTAGTCTCTATGCACCTACTAGGCCAATAAGCAGCCTGCTACATCTTATACTCACCATCACTTGCCCATTTAGAGAATTCTGGTGTTATTCGGGTACTAGGAGTGCCACCACTGGAAGAAGCAAGACAGCAATGAAATATTTGTTACCAAAAAAAAAAAAAAAAAAAGATCTCAACTATAAAATCTAGGATTTATCATGTTTTAGGATTTTAGAATTGGCAAGTGCTTTACATTCTAATTATACTTACATGTTGACCAAACAGTTATGTCCATTTAACAGTTTAAATATTTAGTGTAAATTTTCTATGGCTGTGTTATTGCTTCTTGGCAGAGTTGGAACTTGACTACTGACAGTTTAATCTTCTGTAGATACTGAAACATGATTTTTCATTTCTTAATATAGTTTAGACACTCTTATTTTCTTAACTAATACTAGTAGCTTATTTTTGTGTATCAGGGAATTCCCCAATTTTGGAAGAAACGGAAATTGCTCCATCCCATTCCAGGCCTATCAGTTCAAATTCATTCCTTTCTTATTATGTCTCTTAGATCTACCTTAGTTTAACATAGCATATTAACTGTAATTTGTGAAACTATAGATAGTTCTTGACTTATGATTCTTTAATGATAGTTCAAAGACATAATGGTCTCAGAAAAAGTGACATAACCTATTCTCAAAGTTATGATAATCTTACCACCCCCAACATTGTCATTTGATCACAATTTGGGCATTTGGGGAAAATGGCTCACATTTATGATGTTTTGGGGTCAGTTGATTGTGATTTGTGACCTTCCCAGCCAGTTTCTGACAAGCAAGTCAATTGAGGAAGCTGGATTTGCTTAATGACTGCATGATTTATTTAATGACCATGGTAAAATTGATAATAAAATCATAACTTGCTTTATGATTGCACCAACTTATGACAGAAAGTTAGGTTCCGACTGTGGTCGTAAGTTGAGTTGTTGTAAATATTGGAAGCTGTAAACCTTTAAAACACACACACACACACACACACACAGAGTGAGAAAATAATATAAGAGAATGGAGGGATTTTCCTTAAGATCATTGATGATTACTAAGTAGTAGACTCACTTATATAAATTAAGATAACTAACAAAGTAGTTTCGTACACTTTGATAGCAGTATTTCTATGCTTTATAAAAGAGGAAACAAATGAAACAGAATGATAAGTAAAGTACTTGTAGTATAACATATTCCAATCAATGCATATTATCACCTGGGTGAAGGGAGGCTACTCTGTGCTGGTAGCATCTATGCACCAACATCTGAACTGATTTCATATTGGGAGCAATTTGAGGCACTATATTTGATCTAAGTAATTTGACATCACAAATCTCTTCCCTCCCACTTTCTTATTTATGAAGTGCTACTTTGAAAAGTTCCAAGGCATGTTAAGCTTCAATAGTATGCAGGGTTTTTCTAATGATTCCTGAAAATTAAACTTTTACCTCCATGAAGTGAGAAACTGATCATTTTTACTCTACAATATTTTCTATTTCTTAATGGCTGAAGTTCAGTATCACTGTTTCTTAATGTTTAGTTTATGTAATCAATTTTATAGTTTTTAAATTATTGCATCACATATCTTGGGCTGCAGGGATGAAACATGCTATGTCTGACAAAGCACCTCAACTCCACTAAGGATCGGCTGAAAATTATTAAATAGAAAACTGAATCTTACCAACATACTCTGTTAATTATAAATTTGTTAATGGTTATAGATCATGAACTGTAGGTTAGAGGCCTTGGTTTAGCTTATACTTTAAGTACCAGTCGCTATACATCTGAATTATTAGAAATAAGCAAACTTACTGTCTAATCACTTGTATTTAGCTTTCTGCCAAGGGGATACTAAATAAACTGTAAGATTCTCTATCCTTTTCAGACTGCAGTAAAAATATTCAAATGGATGAAATCTGATTAGTTCTAATGTATTCTTGCCTGAAATCTTGTAAGATTTTATATAAGAACTGACAGATTTTCCAAGTTTCACCCATTTTTAATGTTTTAAAACATTCTGAAGAATCAATGTGAGCTATGTAGAGTTGTGAAGTGGTTTAATATAATATCAAAATCAAGATTACTTGCTGTTGTTCTCCACCCATTGAAACATTTAAAGTTTGGACACATACAAGTTTAAAACATCATCATCATCATCATCGAACCAAGGTAGGTATTACAATTTAAAAGTACTGCTAAATTAATACGGATTGTCCAGTTTAGTTGATTCCAATGACAGGAGAATGCCAAGTGACAGCAACTGATAGCATACACCAACATATGCATTGCCAATAATAAGACTTGTTAGAAGAATTTTTTGACATACTACATATGAACTGGACCATCAACTGTGTACGTAGCATAAAATTCCTTTCATTAAATAATTTTTGTTTGCCATTCTTTCTTAATATAATATAGTAGACTATTGTTTCATGTTTTGGGGATGTAAATTATTTTGAAATCCAAGGGCTTACAATGTGCCTAAATAAATACATAGATGGCAAAGGCAAGAAACATTTTTGAACAAATGCAAACCCCACCCCCAGCATTTATATATCCCAAACTAATTTAGAAGTAAATAAATTTGCATCACTGCAATCTTTCTTCACTAACTGCCAATTAGAAGTCTTGGCCAGATTGGAAAGTATTTTTATTGAAATAGCATTTGCTTTTTGACTGTATATATAGAAATATATACAGACAAATCTTATGATTTTAAAGTATGGAGCAGAAAACAAAGGAAGATCTACATAGGCTTTGATATTGTAAAAGCTAAATCTCTTCTTTTTTCATGCTAATCTAAATAAAATGAAGAGTATTTAAATTCTGTTCATTCAATGGGACAAATCCTTGAACATTTCATTTGTCTTATTGGCCTTGTTTTCATTTAGCGCTAAGCCACTTCATTTTTGATTTAGTGTAAAATGTAAACCTATCCTAAGGATTGTTTAAAAAACAAAACAAAACTACAGTTAAACTCCATTATAATCCTGGCTTGTTTTAACTGTTAACCCGTTAAGACTAATAGCTTGTTCCTGAATTGTCTTTTGTGTGTCATTCAAACTATAGGTAATAGAAAGAGAAATCAGGTGAAACTAACTAGGAATAACCATGAAGTTGTAAGCAAGAAAATCCTGACTTGGTGCTATTTACAAATACAACTACAAAATACAACAACCAGGTTGCCATGTACCCAGATCATGAGCACATGACTGGAACAGCTCCAAGGACTGGTTATAACCACTATTCATTCAGCACTGCTGTAAATTCAAATGGTTGCTGAAAGAATAACTGTAGGTCAAGGATTAACTGTGTACCAATCTATTGAACTTTCTAATAGAAACACTGAGAAGCTTTACTCAGAACTGAATGTTCCAAATAACAGAATAACAAGGAAGGTTTTCTCAGTCAAGCTTAGTCAAATTTGCCACTTATTGTAACTACGTGTTTGTTTAGCATGTGCCTGTATTCTCCTTATCTTGGTTTTGGATTGTATTAAGAACTAAAAAAGTATTGGCTTTGAATGTATTCTCACCAATTCTCAGCACAACAAAGCAAATTCTTCTGGGTTCTAACACTGCATTTTTAAAGGAAGCCTACTTACTTTAGGACTGCACCTCGGAGTGCCTCTCTCTCTTTGGCTTCACCTGGTTCTTCCCCAGTGCATGGAATGATATCTGCTTCAGTGTATCTAAGAATGAAGTGTTAAGGAGAATGCAGCCTAATACTAATTTTAATATTTGTGGACTTCTCTTCAGTGTTTATTTTAGGTCATCTTAGAGATCAACCAAGTACCTTTTGTAATATGAGATGTGCAATTATAATCCACATATTTATTCTTAGATTTAATATCCCACCCTTCCTCTAAAGTACATAATATTTCCTCTTGCAATATTTCTCTACAACAGCAATCCTGTGAAACAAATTGTGCTGAGAGACTGCTTGAAGTCACTCAATGAGTTGACAAAGCTATGGGTGGACTTGATTCTATGGGATCTCTCTGTTCTTTACCTAACTACCAATTATACCACACTTGAGCCAATGTATTTATGAGGTATCAAAAGTAATGAATTTGGGAATAGTATCTTTCCCCCCGCCCAAAAGGAACAGCATGTGAATGCCACTGGTGCTACTAGGGAACTATTTGAAAATAAGATTTATCAACATGTAAAAATTTTGTTTCTGAACTCTTCTCTAATAGAGCTATAATCTTGGAACTTCTAGAAACAGAGGTACTGCAAAGACAAAGCCACCTAGGAGTTTAACATCTCTAGAAAATGATACTGTGGTTTTCCATATTCCAATGTGTCATCACCATCCACATCAAGGTCAGCATCACTGTCTGGACTCTCCTTGCCACTGCACATGACAAACCCAGATCCTAGAGAAAAAGAAAATGTGTAGATAACATCATTTAAGGATATAACTAACAAAGAAATATAAATTCTTTATAATTTTTTTAAAAAGCAATGATTATTTTACATTTTGACACAAAAAGGAATTTAGAGAGCATTTCATTGTTCTCTTGATATTCAGATTAATTTTGAGCTGGGGGGATAGATATCTGTGAGGGATGACATTTGTCAGAAATAAACTGAACTGGGAACTGCAGTGCATAACAGCAGAAAAAGTATATTCAAGCCAAAAGCAAGCAGTCTATGATTTATGAGAACTATTGTGACAAGCAGGAGAAAGTAAATGTAGAGAACTTGAAATGAAAAACATTGTTCTATGCAGAAGAAATCCTAGTATTCCAATGCTGATATGAAAAAAGAGTTTCAATACATGTTTGATTGGACACACACACACAACTTCTGTGTAAAACTGAATGTTGACTTTTCTTCATAAATTGTATTTATTTGTACCCTGCCTTAATCTGAACTACTTGCCACTTGCCCCATCTCACCACCAGATTAGATGATATGTTTTAATCAATCCAAAGTAAAGGGAATATAATATGCAAGTTCAGTACGCATAGACAAAATTTGTTGAATGTTGAAATATATGGTAAATGAAAATATGATATGGGGAATGACAAATTTAGGAGCTAATTTAAAAAAATCTATCCAGCAAAATTTGTTCAGCCTTCTAGATGTGGTGATAAAACACACACACATGATCTGCATTCACTACCAAACCTATGAGATCCCCCCACCCCACCCCTGTGTATGTGAATTGTTTAGGGTGCTCTTTATTAAAACATTTACAAAAAGCTGAATTGACCCTGCGTGGCAATAGGGAGAAAAATCTGTCAGGAACCATTGGCCCAGTGAACCAAATTGTTTACACATATTGACTATATTTCACAAGATTGTATAGCTGATGTGCCCATCTTATACAATTTAGGTACTGTTTTATATTTACAAGTTTGGAAGCCAAATTTTATTTGTCCTGTACAGCTACAAGTTTACAAAGGTAAAAGTAAAATATTTGTCTTGTGTTTCCTGAAACAGCGTGCTATACTTATTAAATAATGTATAATACTGCACAAAGTAGCCTTAATTTAATGACTAGTTGCCATCGAACAGAATGCTTATCTTCTGAATCGCCTGCCTGGCAAATCTTTCTGTCTTCTGTTCATAAAAATAGTTCAGGGATCTGTAAGAAGACAGTTACTAGGACTTACTAAACACCATTGCTTATCATTTGCAACTCACAGCTGAAGCCATTGAAATGGATTATTAATAAGCTGCAAGCACTTTGGACAATGATAGTGCACTTTCTCAAATATTGGGTGGCAGACTTATACATGCCTACAGACAAGTACCCAACCTGAAGCAGATTCAATCTCACAAGCAACAGGAAGCTCTCCAAGTGACAAGAAAATATGTATGGCTTATAGCAAGAACTGCTGCATGGATGTCAGTATGCTATATCTCCACTGGTTTCCTACCAACTCTTAATGTAGCTAACAAAATGGACAGATTCACAAACTCTCATAAGTCTTCCTAAAAATTTCTAGGAAGCAAAACAGAAAATCTTGCTTTTTGAGTTCCATTTACTTTTTACTGTTTCAAAGTTGACTAAAGTGACCATACAAATAAAAACAGAAGGGTTTAGGTTTGTCTGAAAAGTCAATGGAAAACTACTATAGCCAAGAAAATTGTATGGTATGCCCTTGAAGGCATTAGGAGTTAAACTTAACTAAAGGGGATGTTATCTTCATCTTTAGCCATGAGAAATTTTAGATTCAGCATCAAATCCAACATTATTTTCCTACAAACCAACAAGTTTAAATTTAAGCTGAAGTGAGCCAGTTTGTTACAGTGATGAAGATGCTAGCCTAGAAACCAGCTATAGGATTCCTTTAGACATGATAATTGGCTGGCAACTTTTGGTCAGATACTACCTCAGACCAACTTACTTGACAGGGTTATTGTTGTGAGGAAAATAGGAGGTAGGAGTATTAGTTATGTTCACCACTTTCAGTTATATATAAAACACAGAATTAAAAAATATTTTAAAAAATTTAAAGTATGGAAAACAGACATTATTTTTATAAGAAAAAACAATAATATGTACTCAAATTGGCTTTCTAATTACTTCAAGTTTACACATTCCATATCCAAGATTCAAAAACTTTCCAAAGACAAAATCTTCATAGAAGTCAAATATCTGAGGGCATTAGTATCCAAATGGTCCAATTCCATTTCATTTTTCCACCCTCACTGCCAAACTTCTAACATGTTTGAACAAAGTAGGTAATACAGTGTTTTTTCTCCACAGCAATGGATATTTAGTCACCTTATTTTTTAAATGATGCTTTTATTTGTGGTGCCCCATCTACAGTCCCCTTTAGGGGGGATGGGTGGCTATATTTGATAAATAAATATAACCAAACAATTGCTATTAGAGCTTATCAATGAACTTAACCATGACATTTTTCAAATCACATTTTCTAATTTTGAATAATCAGAATAAAACTCTTCATACTATACCATCTTAGGTAATCACTCCAAATAGAAATAATGGGAGCACACAGCATAAATACAGGGCCACCACCCCACCTTAAAAAACTAATATGACCAAACAGCAGCTTAAGCAACCTCAAAGCTAAAACAGAAACAAGATAATAATTAAAGTTTTCTTGTAAATTGTCCTTTTTATTACTTTATAATATAAAATACAAAAACATATAATAGAAAAAATAGGGGAGGGAAAAAGGGAAGGGAAGAATATAAAGAAAAGGGGAAAAGCAGTTGACTTCCAACTCCCTTTGATGCAGTTAGAATAAGATAGTAACATCAAACCTCAACTTTTTACTTTTACATAATAGTATAAACTAGCCATTTATATTATCAACAAATTTATCTAATCGGTAAAACCTAAAATTGGTTTCATTTTTTTCCACCTCAAGCACAAAATCCAGAAAATTATTATTAAAGTTTTAATTTCAAATGACTGTTTAGGGTGCCTAAGAATTATAATGATAGGGGTAATAATTTTAATATAATTTTAACTTTTGTTATGTTGTTTTGTTTAATGATTGGGTTGTAAACTGCCATGAGTTCTTGGAACTGTAGGGGCACAGAAACATAAATGTAACTGCCAATACTCTATTCTAGATAATAACTCCTATGTAATTTACACAAGAAAAACATGTTTACTACTTTATGTTTCCAGTTTACAAGATTTTACCTGTATACAGCTCATCCTTGCTAATAAAACCAATCCAATGAACTAAAGAACCTTATTCTCTGTCATCTTTAATCCAAAATGCCTCTTTCAAGGTCCAAGCAAACGAGTATGAATACTCAGGCCAGATTCTGGAGCTATTAAACCAAGAAAAACAAAATGACCACTGTTTCTGATCTCCATTGTTCTTGTAGTCAGTTGCTCGACAAGCAATTCCAGCACCAGTATTGAGTGGCACTTCTATAAACCCTGTGACAGTTTGGGAGACAAACTCTCCCTCATCAGTCAGAACATACAAATCAGGATCACTTACTCTGAGAGCACAGCTGCCCTCCAGCACTGTGCTCACAGCTCTGCTCAGTCTGATTTTGAAGCAGCTGACCCTGGCACCAAAAAAATGAGTTAATACCAAACATTTCAGGAGTTCAAAACAATAAAATATTCCTGCTGATATATAAAAGCAAGTTCTTTACAAAAAGGAGGCCTATTTATTTATTAATTTTCTATGCCGCCCACAAAGTGATTCTGTTGCACACAACTTATGGGGCAATTTTGAACTGCACATTAGAAACTCTTCTTTAAACCCCATTAAAATGATTCTTTTCTCATTTATAAATATTTCTTTTTTTCTGCTATCTCCTTGCTCATCTATTATGTATGAACGGGCAAGCTACAAAGTATGACTCAAGTGTTATTAAAGCTTGGAAATAGTGATCAGAAGACACTGACCTATTCTCTGCTCTAAAGGCTACTCAAGAATTGGAGAGTGTCCATGAGATTTATAAGCTAGGGGAATCAATAGTTTTATGATATCTGTTATTATGAGTATGCTGGGCTTAAAGATATATTAATCACGAACAAAGATAACCAGAGCAATCAGTCTCTTACAGCAATCTTTTTCTTCTCAAAAAAGGGAAATTTTTTAAACTACTATTACTGTTTACAAGTTAAGCTGTTAGTTTTTTTCATTTACTTCAGCCAGCATGAACCTAATTACAAGATGTGGTTAAAGAGACTCAAATAATGTTCCAGGAAGTAAATCTCCATATTTGTGCAACTTTCCCCCTTAAATGAATTGCATATTTACCTGTAGTAAAAGCTTCATTTAAAAAGTGGACTCTCCATTCAATGCTCTCACAAAATCCCGTACTTTTTATTGGAACAGTACCTGTATCTATACTACATTCATATGTAGATGGTAGCATCATAAAATAAAAGAAATAATGCATCTTGCATAGTTGGGTTTACAGAACAAACAGCATATGGATAATACTTCATTGTGGAGAGCAAACAACACAAATAATGCCAATGAAAAAAGCTATTTCTTTTGCAATCAGTCACAAGAGAAAAGACAGAAAGGTGAAGGTACCAATTGCAGCCTTAGTTGGGTTGATTATTTGTGCCCAGCAACTCATAATCTAATTTTAAAACTGAATAAAATTAAAGCACCTAATTATTTTCTTAGCTAACACATTTATAAACAAAAGTGACAAATCTCCTATTTGTCCAACTGACAACATCAAAAAACAACTGCTGGTTAATATGTCCTGTATGTAGCATATATTAGCTTCAGACAGACACCATCTGGACTACTAGGGGTCAACCATTTACTCTCCAGCTATTCCAGAGCTGCTCAATCTGATTTTTTATATTGAATTTGTTCCTAATATTTACTTGTGTTTAGTAGTTATCATTTGTGGATACTGTTCCTAATTGTCACTCACAGGTAACTTTTTAAACTTTTTA